CCCCCCCCCCCCCCCCCAAACAAACAGATGTGGTTCTGAGATGGGTGAAGGAAATGATTGGAGGCCTCAGAAGAGTCCATACAAGAAGAGACTGAAAATATGGGACTGGCTGGCTTAGCTGGGAACAAAGAAAGCCAAATGTGATAAAACATAGGATGCATGTTTCTGTTCTGCATGTGTCCTAATAGAAGAGAAGGGAGACATTTAATGAAACCGAGAAAAGCCAACACACTACAAAATAAAAAACCCCCTCATTTTTAAGATCTGTTTAAGGGCATTTACGGAACTCATGGCTGCAAGATACTGTTCAGACCAAGACCGTAACAACATTGAAATAGTGGCATAAGATAGAAGACAGAAAAAAATCACATGGAATGGGAATGCTCATGCTGTAGGGCGATGGTGACCAGAAAACAGCCTGTAAGCCATATTCATGCCACCGGGTTCCCCATGGGTCAGGAAACTTGGTGGTTGGGGGTCAGTGGTGACATTAATTGCTGCAGTTCCTGGAGCTGTGACACTAATACTCCTGCTTTTCCTGCACCAAATTTCTTGGGTCCATGGGGCCAGATTAATTGGGCACTGCTGCTTTAGGCCATAAACCCTAAATTTAATTGTCTGGGCTTGCAAGGACCTTGTGCTATTGACTCCTTATTTAGTTGTTGTCTTTTTCTATGGGGTTTCCTGCTCCTCCCCTTGAAACATATAATCTTGCCCTCTATCAGAAGTCTCAGTTCAGCAAAACATTTTATCACGTGCTCAAATCCATCTCCATTCAGCAAGGCATCTAGTCACACAGAAAGTGCAGGGTGAAGATTCCCAGGTTTCAGTGATGCTTAAGAATGTGCTTTGCAGGGTTGGGAGAAAGTGCTGCATCATAGCCAGAGGGGGCATACCAGACCAGATGGACCAGTAATCTGAACTTGTGTGGCAATTAATATGTTTCTATCACCAGGTCTCCCATAAAAGGTGACTTACCTAATTATTTTACCATGTCTTATTAAGTAGTTGAGAGATGGACATAAAGTAGGTCTTAGAAGGGGGTCTTTTTAATTAGATGCTCACGTAGCATCCTGAGAAAATCTGTAGAGGTTCCTGAATGCATTCATGCTAGACAGTCATTGTGCCTCTCGTAGAGGATCTGTGCAGTGTATAGAACAACTTTGTAGGAAATGGTCAGCTTTTTCGTATCTAGGCAATACATTATTGGTTGTTATCATTTTGTGCAGGTGAAAGATGCCAGATTGACTTTCTCCCCTCACCCCAGAGCAGGTGTGTCAGAGGCAGCTGCAATACAAGCTTCCTCCCTAGTGTGCCTCAAATTTGACTGGGGGATCAGGGAGGGTTTTAATCTCCTTTCATATTCAGTCCTACACTTTTCTGTTAACATTACCAGCAAGAGAAATAAGTCATAGCAATTTTTTGTCACGTAGACAGGTGTCCACTAGAAACCAAATATTGAAACCCTGTAAATTTGCTTTGCCCGCTGAATGGCAGCAGATTTGAGACGAAAGCTCTAAGGGTCTGATTCTTCTTCCATTTCCATGAATTCTGTGTAGTCAGTTAGTCCAGGGCAATTTTTCTTTGCTTTGTAAGATTTTTCAGTCATGGGAGTATGGAAAGTTTTTTTGGCTTTTTATAAAGATTAATGGCATTGCACAACCAATTGGATTGCAGTTTGCACATTTACTAGAAGTAGGAAAATGTAGGTGGCTTTTTAATGTTAGCGTAGTGACTTTTTCATAATGTGGCCATGTGCTTTATGGAGCAAGGCAGCTACTCTTTCTCCTAATGCAGCACTCTAGTCTGTCTTGATCTGGTCACTGTTGTGGCAGTTAAATTGAATGAACAAAGAACAAAATTGTTTTATCAAATAATCAGCTGCAGAAGCTATTGGACTGACTTGATGGGAACCCACAGCAGCTTAAATCCACCCTGTGTTTAGGGTCTCATTTTCCCTGGTGCCAGATGCCTCCCACAGATCCTCCACAATTCAGTAGTCCTTCCAGGGCTAAAACAACTGAAAATGAAGAATGAAATAACTCTCCCAAGACCCTTATTTAAAGTGCCAGATATGAAATACGAGAAGTGAGAAGGGAATATGCATGATTGTGGTTTTTTTCTCCCCTGATCTTTAATTTTAAGTTTTCCCTGAATGATTTTGTGAATACTTTAAAAAATAATCTTTATCCTTCAGAGTCATTGCTGGCTAATATAAATACTTGTGCATTGTACTGTAGCTTCTATAGGTCAAAATGCATCTGTGGAAACTGTCCTGGGTTACTTAAGGTGGCAACCATTTGTGTTGCTCTGACTGAATCCTACTTGGAGATCCATTAGGCTGCTTAACTGAAGCACACTTTTGCTTCTGCCCTCCTGCATAGTCTCTAGAGAGTATTGGCAAGCTATTTTTAAAAGCTAATCAGCTGTCCATAGTTTAGACTGGCAGTATGCACCTGGGGAGCTATAACAAGCCTTGGCTGCCTCTATTTGGGAAGGAAGGGTATTACTGATGGAAGTTCCTTGCCAGGTAAAAATGCCAGTGCTGAACCCCAAGAGGAGAACTCTGTATTGCTTGCCATCAAGATATAAAGACCCTTTCCACATCAGATATCCATTGATTTCATCATGAAACAGCCAAAGGGGGGGAGGGTTTGTTTGTTTGTTTGTTTTGTTTTGGGGTTGGTTTTTTTTAGGTGAGGCTGGCATGGTGCAATTACAAGCCATATTATGGCTAGTTTCATGCATCAGCCAGTGGCAAATAGCGCTTATTCTTATGGAACAGTGTTTCTCTTTAAATCCTAGCTGAGTACGAAACAGTGGAAGTTCAGAGAACAGTACAAGTGCTAAGTTGGATCTTCTTTGAGGGAGGAGAGTTCAACTATCAAATATTGGCATGAATCTCTGGGTTACACCTGTTCAAGGCAAAGTTGAGCTGAATGCAGAGCAGAGTTTTAGAATCAAAAGGAAGAATGAGAATCCTTTATGGGGTCCCAAAATCCTGTTCCTACCCCTGTGCTTTATATCCATACCAATTCTGCTCCAAGCAGAAGAGTGGGCATGGCTTTTCTTGGCCAAGGACATATGAGCAGGTTAATCTGCTGCATCGGGTTCAGTTATCTATTATGATTTTTTTATTTATTTTTTTTAAAACCTGTGAACATATGACACAGCCCTTCAGATGCCATCCTGTGCCAACAGTTGCAAATTTATCCCTGGACAAATTGGGCTATTGTCTCACTCTATCAAATGCACAGCCTGCTTGGTCGGGCACAGCTGATACATTGCAAGTTGTTCCACGTTTATGCTTCCAGCTTTGTCTCTGTGTTCATGTGTCCATAGCCTAAAGCAGGGGTTGAATGGTTTTAAAAGGATTCAGAGCAGCCCGATACTCAGTGTGCTGAGCTGTGTTGACATTCCAGCCCCTCCCCTGGGTTGTGAGCCCTTCAGAAAATTCCAGGTTCAATTCACAGATATATACTTTGAATCAAGCTCTAAATTAGACCCACGTGGTCTGACAGCCTACCTAAGCAAAGGTTAAGCTGGTTATTTTTGTCTATACTTCTGTTCCTGCCTGGCCTCTGGAAGGAAAACAATATGAGGAAGCCCTAACTACAGTTTGATTTGATCATTCGACAGAATTTGCCAGTGAATTGTTATCAGTTCTGGTTGTCTGGAGAGATGCTGGTTTTGCTTGGTAGAAACTTTTCTATCAAGTTCACATTTAGATCCTTTCTGCCTGGGGCTGAAAACTTATTTTTTTTTATTGGCCCAACTGCATAGTTGGGAGAGATGTCGGACAAGGGAAGAACTTCTTACATTAACACATCCCTTCCTGTTTTGTCTGTAAATGAATTTATAGTTCAGACTGTTTGCATTGAATCTCACTGTAATTTGAATGGGATAAGTGTTCCTAGCCTGGAAGGTGCTTAAAGTGATTTAACCTCATCCTTACTCAAATGTGATCTCTTCTATGACACGATGGTTCTTAACCCTTTGTTACGTAGGCAAGACAAGCTGTCCCTGTCTAGGTTCTATCCTAAAGTTTTGCAGTAGAGCAGTGTTGGCTAGGTTGATGAGTCTTTGCTCAGCCATAAAAGGTACCAAAACAAAAGTTCTAGCGTATACATAGTTGTATTGGCAAAATAATGTATTTGTAAGTATTGCTTATTTCACTTACTGAACAAGTGAAGCGGTGCCAGAGAAAGATGCTCTTTTGCCCTATTACATCTATTCTAGGAAGGTTTGTCAGTACAACTACCCCAGCAAAGCTTTTCTATTGGGAAAGTGGCCTTTGTAGAGAAATCTTTGCCTGAGATGGGAATGCAGTATTGGATAACATTGTTTGGTATGAAAGGTATTGATGGATGGCCCCATAAATGTAGTTATGGGTAAAACTGTAAAGACAATTTTCACCTTGACAATGTAGTTAGAAGAAAAGGACCAGATCTGAGGCTGATTCAAATAATCATGATTCTACTGATTCCAGTGTAGCTATACCAGTTTATACCAGCTGGTGATCAGCCCCCAATAACCAAGTAGTTAAAGTGGTGACCAGTTGGATAAGTGGCAACCATTGCTGCTGCTATTATTATTGTTGTTGTTGTTGTTGTTGTTGTTGTTGTTGTTGTTGTTGTTATTTGGTGGAGGAGGGATTTGTTCTGATCTGCCTAGCCTTGTAGTTAGGCATGCCTTCCTTTTTAAGTCTCAGTAATGTGTGTGATAATTCTCTCTCCCTCTTTCTCCAGGGTTTAATGCCATGGCTGCAGATGAAAGTGCCACAGAAAAGCAAGTAGGGGAACCAAAAATGGCAGTAGATGGTGAAACGAATGGCTCCTGTGAGCGCAGCGAAGCTGGTAGCCACCCAAATCCAGCTAAAAACACTCAGGACAATACAAAAGTGAGCCAGCAGGACTCCAGTACTAAGTTAAATAGGATAGCAGAGAATGGCATTTCTGAGAGAGACGGTGAGACTGGGAAACAAAACCACATGAAACCTAATGACTTCACACAGACTTCTGTAACTGGGAGTAATGGATATATTTTAACTAAGCAGATGGCACAGGAGCAGCCACTAAGGACTACCAGCACCTTTGCTTCTCTCACGGGCCATGCTGCGAAAACCCTCCCAGGAGGGGCAAGCAAAGGGAGAACTGTGGGCACCTTTTCTCAGATGCAAGCCACAATGCCAGCCAAGCTCGGGGAGGGAAGTAAAGATGTGGATGCTAAGAAAGCCACCCCTGCTAATGCGGAAATCAAGGTCCACAGAGCACGGAAGACCATGCCTAAACCCACCCCTAGCCTGGTAAAGTATATGTACTGCAGTCAGTTGTACTGCAATTGCACTGGGTTTTCTATGTATTCAACTTCTAGCGGGTGGCAGGGTATAGCCTCAATATGTGTGTACAAGTGTCATTTGGAAATAGCCTACTGACCAGAGTTTCTTCCTCCTCCCAAGAGGCAGAGGTGTTAAAATGTCCCATGACATGGGGCTGCCCCTTGTGTTTTCAAACGCATCATTAATCAGTTACCTCTGCCAGCAGATCCATGAGGGAGATTTAATTGCCTTTTTTTCTTGTCTGTTTTGTACCTTAAGCCCATCACTGAAATCCAAAGGGCTGTTTCTGAAACATGTCTCATCCTTGCAAGTTCAACCCAAAGATAAATCATGTATGACTAGTGAGATTCCAAGCCTGATAGGAATCTTTACATAGCAAGAAGTTCCCATCTTAGGACTTATTGCTATGCATCATTGTTGCCTTCAGCTGTCTTAACCAGGCTGGTATTCTCCATGTTTCTTACTTATGTTAATATAATGGTCTTAATCATAGAAGGTGCCCTTTGGAGTGAGTGCATGCCTGTCACTTAGTAAAGGATACAGGTCTTCCTTCTTCCAGATGAAAAATGGAATTGGGATTAAGTGGAACATTCCCTTCCCGTCAGTCTTGCTCCTTCCTCCTTTGTGTAAACCCCCACCAGCAAAAATGGGCCTTGTTTTATGCCATAAATGTTGGTAAGCTCTGGCTCTATTGGACCAAGTAGATGAGTGGCTACCAGACTAGAGGGACTGGCACTGCAGATGACTGGCCCCCAGCCCCTCAGTGCCGTAAATCTAGGGACAGTTAGCTGGGGCCCCAAATAATCTTCATTCTCATAGCTGATTATAGGGGGAAGGACAGATTCGTTGCCAATACCCAAGTAGAGGAGTTTAAAAGCTAAGTTCAGCATCTTTAAGCCCAGCCAGAAGAAGTTGGAAAGAAAAGACAGCCGTTGAAATGCTGGTGAAGCATTTTCTCATTGGGTACCAAAAGTCTACAGACAGAAAAACGCTAAGTGATCCTCAGGCATCAGTCCTATCACTGCAACACAACAGTAATCTTTTTTTTTTAGAGGTTGCAAAGATATGGATCACTGTGGTGAGGTAAGGATCAGAAAAACAGGTCCCAGGCAGTTTGCCAAACACAGATGGCAGAAGGTGCTCTTGGTCGCCAGCACCACCTGTGCTTCCGGAAGCAGGTGGGAGTCTAAAGAGCATTTCAAAATTATGAACCTCTTGGGTGCTTAGTGTCAGCAGAAGGGCAGAAACTACCCCTGCCATACCTTCAAGATCATTCCTTCAAACCACTAGCTTCCCCTCTGCCTTCCCCTGATTGCACTTTAGTTCGCTTGCTCTCACCCCTGTTCCCTTTTGGGCTTTTAACTAGGGAAGCCAGATGCTGTGCATGCAGGTGTGATGAAAGTGCAGCATCAAGCTCTATGTTTTCCAAGCAAAGAATTGCAGTCAGAAGTGCTCTGCAGTCTGCCACTGTGGCCCCTTATACACTTGGATTAAGGTAGGGAACCAATGCAGACCCTTGTGAACCCTCACAGGGAGAGGTTCCCCTGGGACAGAGGAACATGGAGTCAGTTTTCCTTTTAAAAGACTAGTACTAGGTGAGGAGACAGGCCTCACATTTCTTGCCCACTTTATTTTTTTTTTCTTTCTCATTTTACTCTGAATTAAAATAACCTACTGTATCTGACCGGATAAGGTTGAGAGTCTGTTTTAGAAAACGGCGTGCAGCATCTGCCAGGAATGGCATGGCATATTTATATGCACAAAAGATATTTGCTTGTGCATGTGGCTGTTTTGGACATTTACATGCACACTTGTTTTTCCGCCCCCAAAATAAGCAAGCAGTTGTGTGTACCACATTTTTTGTAGTCGTATCCTTGACAATCCAGTGTCCATTTCTCCTTTTGGTTTTGGTGGGGAGAGAAGTAAAATACACAGTTCTGCCAAGATAAGCATGATGTTTAAGCTACTGTATTGGAGTCTGAATCCTGGATTTTCAAATGTTGATTTTGTTTCTACAGACAGTGAAATAACTGCTCTGTTTAACCTTCATAATAATTACTTATCTTCCCCTTCTTCCCCCACCAGCTTTTGCCTTCATGTAATTCTCCTTAGGATAGCATAAAACATAACTAGTTCATGTTTTTTCAGTTTCTCAGTTATTCCTCTCAAGCTACTTCATGACCCCCTCCCCACGGTATGTCAGCATCTTTTAAAGCATCAGACTCCACATTCACACCTGCCTTTTCCACTTGATTAAAGTAAAGCAGATGGGTAGCAGATGAAATATCCCAGGAAATAAGTGTTTACCCTTTGGAGATAACCGTATAAATTGGTTGGTCTTTGAGAGGCCCAGGAGAGGGTGGGGATAGTTTTTTCTCACAAGTGCAATTAGATTGAGTGTTTCTCTGCCTGGGAACCTATTCCAGAAACAGCTGAAGATTTTATCATTAGAGCCCTGGTTTGAGGTTGTATTGAAATAGTGGCCTTTGTTGAGGTTTTGCATCCACTTTGATTAGGCAAGGTAACAACACAGAGTCAGTATTGTCTGTTCATGTTTTTCTCCAGGTGGGGAACACTGTTGCTCTTTTCTTTAATGTTCAGTCCACTTACAACCTTGTCAAATTGCATGAAAGCCCAAGGAAAGAAGGAAATCAGCAAAAAAGGAAGGTTTGTTGCATGTTTTAGGCTCTGAAAATGCTTCTGTTGCTCATAGGCTTTTTGGGGAAGAGTTCCATGGATGAAAATTTCAAAACTCCAGGGGGCTTAATCTCAGGCTGACATCTCTAAAAGAGACAAAAAAAGCCTTGATAACAAACGCTTCTCATACTTTGTCCTGAAGCACAGGATGCAGTGTGGTGGTCAGATCCAGGATGCTAAGTAAGGAGAAACAAGTTCTGTTCTTGAAACTGGCTTACTAAGTGATCTTGGGCAGGTCACTTTCTTTTTTGTCCCATAGTTTCTTCTTCTTTAAAGCTGGGATGATGGTATAGGTCACTGAAGGTTCCCAGATAAAAGGTGCTCCTGTTCCTGCAGAGTGGTGCTTGTTGCATTGTTACCAAGTATTACTGCTGCTGTTTTGCTGAACCTGTTCCATGCTGTGCTGTTCAATGCACATGCTCAGAGAGTAGAGAATTACAGGCAAGTGGCTAGTTAGACTCTTGGATTTTCCAGCCCTCTTATACGCTCTGATTTTGCTGGGGATGGAGCTGAGAGAGTACAGGACATTTTGATTAAGGAGGTTATCTGTCTTGCAGGTGAAACGCTGTATGAGAGCAGAAGGGGTGTTTGCTTCTGAAGGAAAATGGAGTGCATGTAACAACCCTTCTACCATGCACACATCTTCACCTCCCAACCCCATCCCCATCCTATTGTAGAGAGAACAGACAGGGAGGAAAAGGTGATGCCTGATTTTAAATCCTACGAGGCCCTTTCCTAAGTACAGAAGTTGCACCAGCTTGACTTTAAGACTGTCTACATAGGGACATTTGGGGAAGTCAAAGCGAATCAGTAAATTAGGTGAAGCCAATGCACATAGGTTAAGGCATAAGAAACCTCTGTGTGAATTTTTCCATTCAGTTGCCAAGTGCTCTTAGCTCACCGTAGTGTTGGGCTCGTTGGAGCAGTTACTTTGTTCTAAGCCAGTTCGTGAATTTACAGTGGATCAGCTACAACACCCCATGTGGAAGTGGCTAGTGTGCAGGTAGCTTCCTCCATCTTTACTTTGCAGCCATTGCTAATGCCTTCAGTTCATTCAGAGGTGTGATTGCAGTACAGACAGCCATACGCAGCTTAGCTTTGATCTAGTATGGGTAACTTTAGCAGCAAAGATGTGATTACAGAGGCTTCAGTGCTGGTTACACATCAGAGTTTATATCCAGGGACCCCAACAAGCATGTATATAGAATTATAGAAAATGAGGGTTGGAAGGGACCTCAGGAGGTCATTTAGTCCAACCCCCTGCACAAAGCAGGACCATCCCCAACTAGACCATCCCAGCCAAGGCTTTGTCTAGTCGAGTCTTAAAACCCCTCAAGCAGTATCCCCCACCTCTCTGGGTAACCTGTTCCAGTGTTTTACTACCTTCTTAGTGAGAGAGTTTTTCCTAATATTTAACTTAAACTTCCCTTGCTGCAACTTGAGACCATTGCTCCTTGTTCTGTCATCTGCCACTACTGAGAACAGTCTAGCTCCATCCTCTTTGAAACCACTCTTCAGGTAGTTGAAAGCTGCTGTTAAATTCCCTCTCAGTCTTCATGTACTGCAATCACCCCTCTGAGTGCAGTGTTGAAAGAGCCCAAGTCAGATTGTGAACTCATTTAAGCTTAAACCCATGCAGCTTTTTGCATGGTCACTCTTTTGCTGGTTTAAAAATGTCTTGTGTTGGTTTGGCTTGTGAGACAGACTAAACCAGCGTAAATCAGGTTTATACAGATGTGTGTCCACATACAGGTCTGTACTACTCTACCAAAATGCATATATAATTGCACCTCTGTGTGTAGATCAAGTCTAAGCGTGCCAGTGCTGTGGTTTGGTTGGTATGGCCAGAGATCAGAACTTGGTTTGTGTTGTAATATTCTTGTCTATACAATTACCAAGTTTATATTTGTACCCATGTCAAAACCCTCCCCATGATGTTTGAATTTCTGTAAATATAATGGTATTTCTGTGCCAGTCCCAACTTAAGTGTGTAGTTCTAATAGCTTTCCTACTTTGGAGAAGGAAATTTTTTGATGCAGTTAAATGCTTATGATGAAGCAATATTTCACATAACTCATGGCAAAGTCATTTCTCAGAGGCTGATAAAGTTGGGGGCTGCTTCTTGTGAATGGTTAGGTAGGAATCTCCCTGTTTTTCCATGTCACAGTATCTGGGAAATGAAAGGAGATGTGCTCATTATTGAATGTGGTCTCTGGACTTCCCCCATTTGGCTATTCGGGTGAGTCTTTGGCTAATCTGTGTTCTCAGGG